CTGTGGAGGAACATGATTACTTGGATTTTAAAGGCATTGATTTTAATCTTCCAAGTGTTCGCATAATCAGCAAAGGCATTAAGGCATCGTAGAACGCGAGGCATCCTTCCGTTTGACGGCTATTGCGCAACCGTCTCCGAAGGGAGGAATGTCGGAAGTGTAGATGCTGTAAAGCCTTAAAGACCTTTGCTGGAGGCAGTTACGGGTGATTTCACCCAGTTGTAATGCGTAGTTGAAGTTACAAAGCTTGTACACAAGTCCGTCAGGCCATACGCATGTCAAACGCCTTTTCAACGTCTACCAAGGCCATGGCTGTGGGCTTTGATACAGCCTTGTTACTTCGGATGTTATTCATCACCCGTACTAGCTGGTGATTGGTGGAGTGCCCCTCATAAACCCGAACTGTTCCGGAAGGAGAGGGTTGTTTTCCTGGACAAACTTGAGCAAACGATTGAAAATTAGATTCTCGAACAATTTGCTCAGCGCTGAAAGGAGGTTGACTGGCATGTAGCTTGATGACAATGTTGGGTCGTTACCAGGTCTGCGGATTGGTATGATTTTAAACACCTTCCAGATGCTTGGAAAGTAGTGCAGCCACCGACAAACTGACATGAATGACCATAGAAAAAACAATACAATTTCTGACCAAAGCACACTACTTACATCTGGCTCAGTGTTCGCGGGAAATATTTAGCTAAGCCATGAACCCGCATGCAAAAGTTATGTATTGATCCGTGTCTGATCTATTCTGGACAAATTATTTTTATCTAGATCAATAAATCCTATGGTATTGACAGTTCGGATCACTGCACATTTAAATCGGCCGTATTTTCGGGCATAAGTCAGAATTGAGTGTCATGTCGGTTTGTCGGTGGTGCAGCTCCAAGCATCAGACAGTGAGCATGCATAAGGGCGAATACGCGATGAGCGATTCTCTTCATCGATTTTCTCTTTGCATTGCTACAGCTAAGCGAAACAATTTTCTAGAATTTGTTCAATGCAGAGTAGTAACAGGTTGTATTGGCTATCAAAAGCAACAGCAAATGCACCGAGAAACGTTAAATCTAGCGAGTTATTACCAAAAGAGAAAATCGATGAAGAGAATCGATCATCGCGTATACGCCCTTATGCATGCTCACTGTCGACTGTTGAAGATAGCGGTCAAAAGAGACTGCACTTTCATGCTGAGTCTCTTCAAGATTAAGTTGAATATACCGTCAAATCCGGGAGGCTTCTGTACTGTAATCTTATCACCGGAGTTTTGTACGCATTACACAACCTGATAATCGAGCGACTATGGATATTCAAGCCAAGCAAATGCGATGAAGCGACATGCTCCCCGATCGCATTTGCTTTATCCTGTGGGGTGATTAAAAGCCGATCGTCATCATTTTCGTCTCTGAGAGGTGGAACGGGTTTGGGATGAGTTTTCAGGACCTTGGCTACCTTCCAGAATGGTTAAGAGCGGTCGTCCAAAAATGTTCATTTCGAAGTGAGTCCATTCTGGAAGAAATCTTCCTGTTCAGATCGAAACTGGCGTCTACGCACATTTTTCAAGCGAATCAGTAATTGGGTGTGAGAATCAATAGCAACAAACTTACACATCAAGTCGGATAATGATGTGGTCAGGTAATGCTCAGAAGCTGTCGCCGGACTTTAGGTGGGTCTCGGTTAGAAGGCCCACGTCGATGTTATCTTCAGAGAATTCCTAAAATCTTATGGAGACATCTATTGGGGTCATTGGGGACTATCAGAGAGAGTCGCACGAGAAACTTTGTGGCAATGCTTAAAAAAATTCCAAGGACATCCTGTCAATGGTTCAAATGGAATTATCATGAAATTAAATACCCGAGGGAGACTCCCTAATGAAATTCGTATGGTTATTTTGCTTAACGACGTGTTCAGGGCATCATCAAAGCCATTTGTGGAATGGTTCTATCATTTGGGTTATCGTTCGGGTATGTTTTTTTTTCTTTTATTAGCGTTGTTCGGACAGATGAAGTAAGACATTTTGTTTTGCGTTAGGGAATAGTTTTATTATAATTTGTCGTCCTGTTTGTTTTCTAACACTACTGAGTATGATTGTGGCGGCATTTACTACCTTATGTAATAGTTATTGAGCTTCGAATGCAAAGCAATTGCTCCAAATGTTGTACCAGAGAGCCAGATTTTGTATGTTTCTATGTATGCATGCTACTCATAATCGACGTCATTAGACAATTATCCGATTACGGGCAGCATGTGGGTATGAAATCACTGTGGTCGATACCAACCTAGTCAGCCTAACCGGTCACACTTTGTATGTTGGTCGAGCAGTCGGATTGTTTATGCTTTGTAAGCGATGGCGACGGACGGCATAATGCTGATGCAGCGTGTGCTACGTTGACTGTTGTCACCCAGTTAGGAGTAGATTGAAATTGAAAATAAATTATCATTGCTGTACCAACCACCGGAGTATCAACTGGATGTCACACCACCAATGGTAGTCACTACGATAGCGACTAGTTCATTTAACATAATTTATTTAGACCTTGTCGGGCCATGACGACGCAGTGTGAATTGACGAAATTCATAACTGCAACACCTATTAAGGATAAGGACAAATCAACAGAAGTTGTCGCGAAAGCTTTCGTTAAGAACGTTCTTTAAAGCCCAGTAACGCCTGGTAAATTACCTTTTTGCGGTGCGTTACTGGCGTTAAGATCGACCACCGATGCCTAGTCCGAACTACTTCAAATTAGGGAAACAGGATTCTTTTTGTCCACCGAGGATGATCTTGAAAGGTGAATATTTTTCACCTCTTGATAGAGCTGGAATTAGGGCGTAATCACTTTTGTAAACAATCTCTAGATCTGCATGATTCCTAATCTTTTATTCGCTGTTCTCTACCTTGAAGTGGTTAAGGATTCTGATGCATGCTCATTATCGCCTTTGGAGGGTGTTCCAAGGGTATAAAGAGCGGGACCTTAGAATTAGAGTCGGATCCTTGAGATAAAGGCAAGAATGACAACTAAATCAAAACCGAATACTTCATCATTTCTAAATAGTGATGAAGTAACACGACATGCACTGAACTAAGGCCACGGGGGGGCATACACAATAGACCGCAGTGGATTTATGTCCCGAACAGAGGAAAAACAAAAAGCTATGAAATTCCGGATGAGATTAATACAGACCGTCGAACAGAATTTATGTCCGAGCATCTGCGAATTACTGAAAAATAAATAAAAATTAAACTCGACTGCATATCACCATTAAACAGTGGGAGCTTTATAGAACTCGCATAAAGTTGTGGGAGTGCATCAGGAACACAAGGTAATTGGCCATACAATTTACCTTTAACCCTACACACATGCGTCAGGGTATGCTTTGGGAGCAGTGCGGTCTAACCAAAATGGAAGAACAGTGGCATTTGTTTCTAGAGCTTTGCACAAACTCGACCTATACTACGGAACAATAGAAAAATAGCTTCTGACAGTGGCAGTTTCAGACCATAGACGTTGCGACCGATGACAACTGCAGTCAGCCTATGCATAAACCAGGATCCAAAGTACCTCAAGTCTTGGAGAGATGCATTTTGTCAAGCATTCAAGTTGACACCGGGTGTGGAAAAGATCGCTTGAGTTTTGGCCGCTAGCAGAACTCGGTTTCCTGCTATTTTGCGACAACTGGCTGACATCGGACTATTCGCAGTGACTCGCTCGTCAAACAAAGCGTTCATTCCCAATTGTCATGTGCATCCCTACAAATAAACCACGACAATAACCCAATCTTAAACAAACAAAGTCATTCCCTTCAGCCTGAACAAAGTTCATAGCCTCAAATTACATAGAATGCAATTGCAACCATATATATGCGGCGATTGCGCCACAGCGTTAGAGTTATTTCATTTCTACTTTCCTCTCCCCGCGTGAGACCTGGCCCGATGTGCAAACGAAAGGTTCCATGTTGCACAGTCGGGCAGGATCACCAAGTCACCAAAAGTGCAGACCTTGCGAAGAACATGTAAATGCTATATAAACCAAATTATTCTAAATACACACGACGTCCTACCGGAGTCATTCGAAGAAGTCGATCAGTGTCTGCAAACCATCGAAGAGGCAATATCCCGTGCCAGGGAGCAACACGTACCAGCGTCCAGACTGGTGAGCTATACTCTGAACCTTGACAGCCCAACCAAAGATCTTATCAGGCTCCGCAGCACCATTCGTAGGCAGTTCCAGCGTTCTGGGCTGCCCCACTTGCCCCAAATAAGTCAAGACCGATCCCTCCACTATCCTCTGTTGACCAGAACTTGGATCCATCCCTACTCATAACCCCAGTTGAAAAGGCCAATGCTCTTGGCCAGCATTTTGTGATTTCACATAATCTTGGTCAAACCATGGTGAGCCCCCATGAGCCTGCCGTACTGGAGGCAATGTCTAGAGTCGCTCACACTCCCGTAGTAGTGCATGATGATAGTAGAATATCGGCTTATGAGGTGATATGGATGGTGTAGTCAACCTCGAGTTGAAAAACTTGAGTATTGACTTCTTCAACCATCTTACCGTTATCTTCAACAAATGTTTGAAGCTTGATTCCAATACACAAGCCTGGCAAAGATCCTACCAGTGCCAAAAGCTATCGCCCCATCAGCCTCTTGTCCTCCATCTCGAAGCTATTCGAAAAATTGATACTCAGCCGTCTGCTGGTGTTTTCAAATGATAATAACATCTTTCTCAAAGAGCAATTCGGGTTTAGGAAAGGCCACTCTACCATCCACCAACTCGCACGGGCTACTAACATCATCAAGCGGAACAAGTCCGTTTCCAATACATCTGCCATGGCATTGCTGGACGTCGAGAAGGCGTTCGACAATGTCTGGCATGATGGTCTAGTGTACAAGCTGCATCGATACAACTTTCCGATCTACCTCGTGAAGATCATCAAAAACTACTTGCAGATCATTCCAGGTCTACTTGAACAATGTCCCCTCTGATACGTTCAACGTTGATGCAGGGGTCCCTCAGGGTAGCCTGCTTGGACCTATCCTATTCAACATTTTACGTCAGACGTTCCTCCCCTGCCGGGTGGTGGTATTCTGTCAATGTTCGCAGATGAAACCTCCATCATCTATAAGGGGTCGAGTGATCCGTGCTCTGGCGAGTAAACTCCAATCAGGCCTGGATGTTCTGTCCGAATATTTCAAGAGCTGAAAGATTTGTATCAATGCAGCTAAAACACAAACCATTCTGTTTCCACACTCGAATTCACCTCGGCTGCTAACGTCAAGATCCATCTTGATAGCACTCCCATTGAATGGGCGAGTGAAGTGAAGTCTACCTTGGTCTCACCCTCGATAGCAAATTGCTATTCCGATCCCATGTGGACAAGACATCCACCAAGTGTAACATCATGATCAGGGCGCTCTACCCTCTGATAAACAGGAAGTCCACCCTGTCCCTCAAAAACAAGCTTGCTGTCCACAAGCAGATCATTTTGCCGGCTATTGAGTATGGTATGCGGATCTGGGAGAGTTGTGCTAAGTGCCACCACCTAAAGCTTCAGAGGATCCAAAACAAAATCCTCAGAATGATCCTTAACAGTCCACCGCGAACTCGTATTTTTGAGATTCACCACCTGGCCGGTCTTCAAACACTCGAGGAGCGAAAGACTTCCACGCTGGAAAGGTTCAGAGTCGCCGGTCTGCGATCAAACCACCAGATCATTCGTGATTTGGCAACCTAGTTTAAGTAGCTAGGTAGGTTCCTGTGCTCAAGTACCTAGGTAGGTTATCAAATTTTTAAATTCAATCCCATAAAGGGTATCCTGTAAATTAGCGATAAACGCAATCATCCCATTAGAATAACCAATTATTAGTTAATTGGCAAAGATGAAGAGCCAAAGGCTAACCAATTGAAATGTTACACATAGTAGTAAACGTAAATTTGACTACTTACTAATACACACGCCAATTATCGATCAGCAGTCAAACTCTCGTTACTGCGGTCCTTACGGGTAGATACTTTTAATAAGTCTACCATAGGTTTCGATACCGCATGACCAAAGAAAGCCCTTGTCCAATTGAAGTCTGCTCGATTGAACCATGTATTCGAAAACCTGCTACACAATACAATGCTGTTGACTTTGTCAGAGAAGCAAGTAGCCTTCGTCCTTCCAGCTGAAGCAGACCGCGTGCAGTGTGTTACTCCAAACACCAATGTGTGAACATCATTATTGCATAGTGCATCGCATCCCTCAAAAATCTTTCAAAAAGAATAGAACCAAGGACTGCAGTAAGGAAACTGCATGCTAGTAAAGTAACATTGCATCCATTACTTGATCGGATTACACCAATTTTTGTTAATCAGCAATATGTGCTGATCTGCTAGCATTGTACCAAAAAGTAGCCAGCATAATGTAAACAGGGTGTCAGCATCTACCAGCATGAGATTTCAGGATCAACTTGAGTTTGTTGATCTGGTTAAGCCAGTGAAATAGCATTATAGTGTAAACACCCTATTAGGCTATAAAAGCATCACTAGCATGTGGTTTCCTTACTGCTAGCAGGGGATGTCATCCACTATGCAATAATGATGTTCACATGTGGTTGTGGTGGTTGGAGTACAAATCATTTCGTTTATTATAAGTCGCTGTCTCAGCACATGCCATTCGTCGTGCATCGAACGACTCACATAGTTTACGCTTACGCAGCATAGCCAACGGCGTCGTTTGTCGCTCGACCGAACCTTGCATTATGCTAGCGATGCCTAGGTAGGTATCCACCACAGTATGCTTAATGCTTGCTATAAAATAAATATTTCACGATAAATGAGATTCGGCTTGCCGCAGTTGTATTAATAATAGTAATAGTAGTAGCAGATCGTAGACTTGTCAGCACGTTCAACACCTTATGCTCCCCTTGCCTAGTAACTGAGGCGATGCCGGCGCTTGGAGAGTACAGAAACTATCACACACAACAGGTGCAGCAGAAACGAACTGTGGCTCACATCGGACCAATAACGGCTGCGACAGCGCTGCACGGAAAGTTGTTGATTGCTCTCAGCAGTATCGTCCGTTTTCTGTGCACCTAAATTTTCACTTGAGATCATATTCGTCATTATTGCTCGGTAATCGATAGGCAACCGAGAGCCGTTCCAGCATCGACGGACGTGGCCAACGCAACAGTTGTAGCACGGTTGGCGGTACCAGTCTCAGTAGAATATTGGGAGCTGTTCCTGAAAGTAGTGATTCTATATTAGCATATCAGATATTCACGTGGCATTACGACATACCTCCGGGTCTTCGTTTTCCTCATCCTGCCAGCCTTCGTTTGCTCTTCCACGTGATGCTGGTTGTTGTTGTTGCTGCTGTTGCTGTTCCTGGGCAGCCTTTTCCGCTAGTCGATTCCTTTCCATTATATCCGCCAAGTCTCCATCCAATTCGTTTTGCAGCATCCGCCAACGGTTATCGAAATTACCTTGGGGCATTTGTTCTGCTCCACCGTTGGAAGTTCCACCCACCGCTCCCGGTGGATGAACCTTGTCCAAGTCACAAATCTGATCGGCTTCTGCCAGGTCGTACGTCGTCAAAGCATACCCATTCGAACTGCTGACCCCGTTAGACATCTTGTCACTTTCCGATGTACCGTATACTCTGCGTGTTCCCCCGCCACCACCAACAGCACCCGAAGCTGTCGATACGTGCGATGAAAATGGATTCTCACTACCTACGCCAGCGTACGGTTGGAAGGTCTCGTTGTTGTCTGTACTGATATCGCCCGTCGTATTGTTGTTCCCATTGCTGAAACTGGATAGGGAATCATGCTGCAACTGTTGTTGATGGAGTTGCTGCTGTTGTTGTTGAGCTCTCATCTGTCCCTCTTCATCTCCGGTCATGTTGGACGAAGAAACCGCTCCCGCGTCACCCTCCGCGGCCGATGACCTCAGCAAAATATTGTTCAACAGATTTTCCAAATTCGATATAAATTCATCTTTATCAGTGCGATTCCAGCTCTCCAGGTGCCTCAGGAAATCTTCCCTACTTATAACATCAGTCTCATTCTGTGTCAAGAAGGCAGCCATGGATGGTCCTAGCATCGGATTTCCCAACAGGCCTTGCTCCTGCCCTTGCTGTGGAGGAATCTGCTGGAACAACCCATTCGAAGCCCCCGTTGCGTGATTGCAAATAACCCCGGCAATCTTACATAATACCGAATCGTTGATGTAGTCTACCGAATTGATCACTCCCACAATGTCCCCCATAATGATGCTGATTATCTCCGAGCTGGGCATCCCCCCGAGTTCGTTCCCTTCCAAATCCTTGGTAGGTGCAGTCATGTTTGCATTCGTACCGATACCGCTCCCAGCAGCAGCCACCGCAATTGGGGTACTCTCCGCCGAAGGAGCAAACGGAAATGGTGGCTGCTGTCGAACGTTTGTGAAGCTCTGCGATACTTCCACGACTTCTACGTTTTCAGCAGTCAAAGGATGTTCACTACCTCCGCTAGCCGCTTGGCCACCCCCGACGGTAGCATTTGACGACAGAAGATTGTTGCTACCCACGTTGTTGACGTGGCCTTCCTGTTGCTCCTGCTGAAGAGTTGATTCAATATAGCGATTGTACAGTTCCTGAATCGATTGCAGTGTTCGCTGCCGCAGGGGATCCGAGGAGATCAACTGCAACTCGCGGAACAGCTGAATCAGGAAGTGCGGACGCGATTCGTTTGCGGTAATGAGATTCTTCACCTCCTGGTAGACGTTCTCCTTGAGCGCTTCGAACAGCTTAGATGTTGATCTACCAAAAAACAAATAAGTTTATCAATAACCACCCCCAACCAATCAAACCGAACCAAGCCAACTTACTTCGAATCATGCTGATAGTTGCTCGCCGTGGCAAGATTCAGATCGCTCACCATTTCGGCATGCGCTCCGACACCGTAGAAATTTGAGCTGCTCTCCCCACCGAGGTTGTTCCCGTCCCGGCAGGACCGTAACGAAAGTGGATACTTTTTGTTTCCACTACCCTTCGGAAGACCGCTCTTGTTCGCCAGACCTAGATTGATCGGATTGGTGTGGAACTGCAGCTCGCCCAGATCGAACGAAGTCGACTGGCTTAGCGGAGTGTGATGATGCTGCTGTTGATGTGGCTGTTGTTGCTGTTGTTGCTGTTGCTGCTGCTGCTGTTGTTGTTGTTGAGCTTGAGGTTGATGCTGCTGCTGCTGCTGCTGGAGGAACGGTGATTGACCTATAGGTTGGAACTGTGCCCCATCCTGTTGTTGTTGTTGATGCGACTGTTGGGGTATCGTTTGATAGTGCTGCGATGGTTGATGATGCCCTGATACATTCGGCTGCTGCACATTCGGTCCCAAATCGGTGGATGCATTCTGCTGCTGGTTGACGTTACTGAAGGAATTGTTCCGGTTCAGGTTGTGCGGGTATTTGGTGCCGGTGGAGCCGCCAACACCACTGCCACCACTGCTACCGGATGCGTTATTGCTGTTGTTGTTGAAGTTGTTCACGTTGCTATTGTTTCGCTGGATTTGATTGTTGATGTTGTTGTTGGTACAACTGTTCGTACTGAATGTGCAGGAATCTTCGTTGCTCTTGCAACTGTTGCTCGACAGGAGGTTTTGTCTCGAGTAGCTGAAAAGGGGAGAAACTGGTTAGCAGTTGGAATTCCTTGATTGAGAAAATGGAAACACTTTAGCCACACAAAAACATCACACGGAAAATCAATATGTTTAGTGTCATAACTACAACTTTGCAAGTAAATCATCAAATGGTAGAACGACGGCCGCAGAGCCCCACAGAATGAAACAGAACAACAGAAGGAGTTCAGATGCATTTTGCTGTTCCCGAAAAGAAAAATTTCCTATTTTCATGATCACCCCTCTTTTCGCAATTAGAGCCATATTTACGGAGATAAATCGATTTAAAGGTTTGGAAAGTCCACCAGCCGACAGATAAAAGATTTTGGAATATTATATACTGGAAAATCCAGGTATGAAAATTTCGAGCATTTGAACACCCCTCTTTTCGCGATTAGAGCCATATTTACGGAGATAAATCGATTTAAAGGTTTGGAAAGTCCACCAGCCGACAGATAAAAGATTTTGGAATATTATATACTGGAAAATCCAGGTATGAAAATTTCGAGCATTTGAACACCCCTCTTTTCGCGATTAGAGCCATATTTACGGAGATAAATCGATTTAAAGGTTTGGAAAGTCCACCAGCCGACAAATAAAAGATTTTGGAATATTATATACTGGAAAATCCAGGTATGAAAATTTCGAGCATTTGAACACCCCTCTTTTCGCGATTAGAGCCATATTTACGGAGATAAATCGATTTAAAGGTTTGGAAAGTCCACCAGCCGACAGATAAAAGATTTTGGAATATTATATACTGGAAAATCCAGGTATGAAAATTTCGAGCATTTGAACACCCCTCTTTTCGCGATTAGAGCCATATTTACGGAGATAAATCGATTTAAAGGTTTGGAAAGTCCACCAGCCGACAGATAAAAGATTTTGGAATATTATATACTGGAAAATCCAGGTATGAAAATTTCGAGCATTTGAACACCCCTCTTTTCGCGATTAGAGCCATATTTACGGAGATAAATCGATTTAAAGGTTTGGAAAGTCCACCAGCCGACAGATAAAAGATTTTGGAATATTATATACTGGAAAATCCAGGTATGAAAATTTCGAGCATTTGAACACCCCTCTTTTCGCGATTAGAGCCATATTTACGGAGATAAATCGATTTAAAGGTTTGGAAAGTCCACCAGCCGACAGATAAAAGATTTTGGAATATTATATACTGGAAAATCCAGGTATGAAAATTTCGAGCATTTGAACACCCCTCTTTTCGCGATTAGAGCCATATTTACGGAGATAAATCGATTTAAAGGTTTGGAAAGTCCACCAGCCGACAAATAAAAGATTTTGGAATATTATATACTGGAAAATCCAGGTATGAAAATTTCGAGCATTTGAACACCCCTCTTTTCGCGATTAGAGCCATATTTACGGAGATAAATCGATTTAAAGGTTTGGAAAGTCCACCAGCCGACAGATAAAAGATTTTGGAATATTATATACTGGAAAATCCAGGTATGAAAATTTCGAGCATTTGAACACCCCTCTTTTCGCGATTAGAGCCATATTTACGGAGATAAATCGATTTAAAGGTTTGGAAAGTCCACCAGCCGACAGATAAAAGATTTTGGAATATTATATACTGGAAAATCCAGGTATGAAAATTTCGAGCATTTGAACACCCCTCTTTTCGCGATTAGAGCCATATTTACGGAGATAAATCGATTTAAAGGTTTGGAAAGTCCACCAGCCGACAGATAAAAGATTTTGGAATATTATATACTGGAAAATCCAGGTATGAAAATTTCGAGCATTTGAACACCCCTCTTTTCGCGATTAGAGCCATATTTACGGAGATAAATCGATTTAAAGGTTTGGAAAGTCCACCAGCCGACAAATAAAAGATTTTGGAATATTATATACTGGAAAATCCAGGTATGAAAATTTCGAGCATTTGAACACCCCTCTTTTCGCGATTAGAGCCATATTTACGGAGATAAATCGATTTAAAGGTTTGGAAAGTCCACCAGCCGACAGATAAAAGATTTTGGAATATTATATACTGGAAAATCCAGGTATGAAAATTTCGAGCATTTGAACACCCCTCTTTTCGCGATTAGAGCCATATTTACGGAGATAAATCGATTTAAAGGTTTGGAAAGTCCACCAGCCGACAGATAAAAGATTTTGGAATATTATATACTGGAAAATCCAGGTATGAAAATTTCGAGCATTTGAACACCCCTCTTTTCGCGATTAGAGCCATATTTACGGAGATAAATCGATTTAAAGGTTTGGAAAGTCCACCAGCCGACAGATAAAAGATTTTGGAATATTATATACTGGAAAATCCAGGTATGAAAATTTCGAGCATTTGAACACCCCTCTTTTCGCGATTAGAGCCATATTTACGGAGATAAATCGATTTAAAGGTTTGGAAAGTCCACCAGCCGACAAATAAAAGATTTTGGAATATTATATACTGGAAAATCCAGGTATGAAAATTTCGAGCATTTGAACACCCCTCTTTTCGCGATTAGAGCCATATTTACGGAGATAAATCGATTTAAAGGTTTGGAAAGTCCACCAGCCGACAGATAAAAGATTTTGGAATATTATATACTGGAAAATCCAGGTATGAAAATTTCGAGCATTTGAACACCCCTCTTTTCGCGATTAGAGCCATATTTACGGAGATAAATCGATTTAAAGGTTTGGAAAGTCCACCAGCCGACAAATAAAAAATTTTGGAATATTATATACTGGAAAATCCAGGTATGAAAATTTCGAGCATTTGAACACCCCTCTTTTCGCGATTAGAGCCATATTTACGGAGATAAATCGATTTAAAGGTTTGGAAAGTCCACCAGCCGACAAATAAAAGATTTTGGAATATTATATACTGGAAAATCCAGGTATGAAAATTTCGAGCATTTGAACACCCCTCTTTTCGCGATTAGAGCCATATTTACGGAGATAAATCGATTTAAAGGTTTGGAAAGTCCACCAGCCGACAGATAAAAGATTTTGGAATATTATATACTGGAAAATCCAGGTATGAAAATTTCGAGCATTTGAACACCCCTCTTTTCGCGATTAGAGCCATATTTACGGAGATAAATCGATTTAAAGGTTTGGAAAGTCCACCAGCCGACAGATAAAAGATTTTGGAATATTATATACTGGAAAATCCAGGTATGAAAATTTCGAGCATTTGAACACCCCTCTTTTCGCGATTAGAGCCATATTTACGGAGATAAATCGATTTAAAGGTTTGGAAAGTCCACCAGCCGACAAATAAAAGATTTTGGAATATTATATACTGGAAAATCCAGGTATGAAAATTTCGAGCATTTGAACACCCCTCTTTTCGCGATTAGAGCCATATTTACGGAGATAAATCGATTTAAAGGTTTGGAAAGTCCACCAGCCGACAGATAAAAGATTTTGGAATATTATATACTGGAAAATCCAGGTATGAAAATTTCGAGCATTTGAACACCCCTCTTTTCGCGATTAGAGCCATATTTACGGAGATAAATCGATTTAAAGGTTTGGAAAGTCCACCAGCCGACAGATAAAAGATTTTGGAATATTATATACTGGAAAATCCAGGTATGAAAATTTCGAGCATTTGAACACCCCTCTTTTCGCGATTAGAGCCATATTTACGGAGATAAATCGATTTAAAGGTTTGGAAAGTCCACCAGCCGACAGATAAAAGATTTTGGAATATTATATACTGGAAAATCCAGGTATGAAAATTTCGAGCATTTGAACACCCCTCTTTTCGCGATTAGAGCCATATTTACGGAGATAAATCGATTTAAAGGTTTGGAAAGTCCACCAGCCGACAAATAAAAAATTTTGGAATATTATATACTGGAAAATCCAGGTATGAAAATTTCGAGCATTTGAACACCCCTCTTTTCGCGATTAGAGCCATATTTACGGAGATAAATCGATTTAAAGGTTTGGAAAGTCCACCAGCCGACAGATAAAAGATTTTGGAATATTATATACTGGAAAATCCAGGTATGAAAATTTCGAGCATTTGAACACCCCTCTTTTCGCGATTAGAGCCATATTTACGGAGATAAATCGATTTAAAGGTTTGGAAAGTCCACCAGCCGACAGATAAAAGATTTTGGAATATTATATACTGGAAAATCCAGGTATGAAAATTTCGAGCATTTGAACACCCCTCTTTTCGCGATTAGAGCCATATTTACGGAGATAAATCGATTTAAAGGTTTGGAAAGTCCACCAGCCGACAGATAAAAGATTTTGGAATATTATATACTGGAAAATCCAGGTATGAAAATTTCGAGCATTTGAACACCCCTCTTTTCGCGATTAGAGCCATATTTACGGAGATAAATCGATTTAAAGGTTTGGAAAGTCCACCAGCCGACAGATAAAAGATTTTGGAATATTATATACTGGAAAATCCAGGTATGAAAATTTCGAGCATTTGAACACCCCTCTTTTCGCGATTAGAGCCATATTTACGGAGATAAATCGATTTAAAGGTTTGGAAAGTCCACCAGCCGACAAATAAAAGATTTTGGAATATTATATACTGGAAAATCCAGGTATGAAAATTTCGAGCATTTGAACACCCCTCTTTTCGCGATTAGAGCCATATTTACGGAGATAAATCGATTTAAAGGTTTGGAAAGTCCACCAGCCGACAGATAAAAGATTTTGGAATATTATATACTGGAAAATCCAGGTATGAAAATTTCGAGCATTTGAACACCCCTCTTTTCGCGATTAGAGCCATATTTACGGAGATAAATCGATTTAAAGGTTTGGAAAGTCCACCAGCCGACAAATAAAAGATTTTGGAATATTATATACTGGAAAATCCAGGTATGAAAATTTCGAGCATTTGAACACCCCTCTTTTCGCGATTAGAGCCATATTTACGGAGATAAATCGATTTAAAGGTTTGGAAAGTCCACCAGCCGACAGATAAAAGATTTTGGAATATTATATACTGGAAAATCCAGGTATGAAAATTTCGAGCATTTG